TTAGTCTTGGATACCAGCTAAATTGAAAATGTAGCTGTTGGAATATGTTGTTTAATATAAGAGTAGCAAGATTTTCAAATTTGTGATATTCAACATAAAAAATATTGCAAATAATTTAAATATCAATTAAATTAGTGCGGTCAAGAATGGTCGACGGCAATCAGTTTGGTGCCAAAAACACTCTGCCAGGGAGTGGCACAGGAGAAAATAGAAGTTTATCTCGCTTCTCTAGCCTAAGGGCATTTAAGCCTTTGTGCACCTCCGTTATCCACCGTTAGCAACGAATATGGATGGAATGGCGTGAACGACAAAAAAAAAAGTTTTGGTCAATAGTATCTAGGTGCGCTCGAACTTTTTAGTGACCGATAGATAACTACCATCTTTTATAATGGCACACCGGTAAAATTCTCTTTTCGGAACCATGCCCTTCCTTCCCCCCACTGGATGACGACCCGGCCCCACCTCGGATGTTCCCCCGCATCGCGCGCGCGCGCCAGATCGGTCAAAACGTGTTTTGGAAACTGTGATCGGCAATCCGGCCGGCTCGTAAACAAATCTCCTGCGCTGAGCAAGCACATCACAACACACGACAAATCCAGCACACGCTGCACGAGATTGCGAGACCGCATGCGTCGGAGATCATCGCGAGCAAGCTAGCTTGAACACGGAAACAGAAAAAAAAAAAAAACCCACCATCGATCTCTGCCAGAATACGGAAACAGAAACAAAAGCTTGACTCACCAGATCGACGTGAACACAACCTCGAAACAAAAAAAGAAGAAAGAAACACAGCCGTAGACGTGAAACAAAGCACAAAACGTGCCCCGCGGGACACTGCTGATCGTGAACGCGTACGCCATCCACGGGAACCGGAGGTGTGGGAGAGCCTGCCTACTGAGTTCAAGCTGGCACCAGGCTAGGCTTGTCCACGCCAACTCCATCGATGCTCATCGCTGAAAATTATGAAAAAAAAAAGATAATAATGATCCGCCACGGTCGTTCGTCCCATGACTTCCGTCCGGACGCGACTCCGCAGAAGCGGGGCCCATCTCTCTTAGAAACAAAAAACAAATTTCCACTCCCTCATCGGCTTATCTGTCCGGCGCCCAAAGCAGCGTGGCCACTCATCCGTCCGCCCCCTTCCCCCACCGCGTGCTCATCGGGCTGCCGCGTCATGTCCTTCCGGCCTTCTGCCCATCGCCGGTCGCGTCGCACACCCGTCCCAGTCGCCTGCGCCGCTCGCTCCCTCGTTGTCCGTCGATCCCTCATCGTCGTCGGGCGTGTCGCTGACCCTGCCATGGCCGCTGGGACGCACGTGTCGTGGCGCCTTAGGTCTTCCCCGGCCGAGCCAAGGGCGCCCATGAGCATGACCGGTGCTGGTGGTGCTCGCGTATCGTGGCTCGCCACCCGCTCCCACCCACGATGGCCGGAATCGACCGGCTCGGCCTTCCCTCCACTATGTTGCACATATATGTTTTAAGTGTTTTAAACGTTTCAGACATATGTTACAATTGTTTCATCTTAATGTTGCAAAAGTAGATCGTGGGATATTGCACATGTTGCGTATGTTGCAAGTGTTGTAGAGACATGTTGCAAGCGTTTGTCCAAAATGTTTCATCTGTTTCTAGACATATGTTGCAATCATTTTTCTGAATGTTGCATATGTTTCACACATATGTTGCAACAATATATATGTTCTAAATGTTTCAGTTGTTTCAGTCTTATGTTGCAGCAAGCGGTTTCATGTTGCAAGTGTTTTATTTGGATGTTTCATGTGTTGCAAGTGCATGTTCCAAATGTTTCATCTATTTTTATTCTTATGTTGCATTCATGTTGCAAGTGTTTTATGTTGTTCGGCCAGGGGCGAGTCAGGGGCCGTGCGGATGGGGCGTGCGACGCCCAGAGGGCCGACGGACGGGGGCGCTGGGGGCGGGCGAACTAGGGTGTTGCGGGTCGGGGCGCGCTGGGGGGCATGCTCATCCTTAGCTGCTCATCTCGACTCTCGAGTGTCGCCCGTGTGGAGAGTCAGAGAGAGAGGAGGGGGTCAGGGGAAGGACCGGCGGGTGCAGAGATGGGGCGGAGTGCACTCGTGGGGCGGGGCGAAGGCCGACAGGGGTGGGCTGTGCAGGCATCCGGACGCGCGCATCCGTCCGGACGTCCAGGCGCTAGCCACGCCCCAAAAAAGAAGTCGTCGCTGAGACCACCACCACACAAAGCCCCCATCATCAATCGGCGCTCCAGTCTATCATCAGGTGACTCATATGCACTTTCAATTCTAAGCTACAATAATTCAATCGATTTCGTCCAATTGGTTCATGAATCGTGTTCTTCCTTTTTCCTTAAATTCTAAATTTTAATGACTCTCTTCATGTATTCTTATAGATTCTCTCCTACATGGAACCTATTGAAAATCAGGAACAAGGTTGTTCAACAACATTGAGAAACTCAACAAATCCGATCAATGAAGGTAAATAAAAACAATCAAATGTATATATGGATGCTTTGGAATATAATGTAAATGGTGCTAATTAGGTGCTAATCAATTACGTCTTTTTATCTATTAAAAAATTAGGTGGCCAAAGTGAATCTAATTTACTTACACAAGTCTTCGATCCTAAGGAACGTAAAAGACAAAGAGATCGAGCATGGCGTGCAGCTATGACTAAAGAGCAACGGAATGAAATTAATATAAATAGTAGGAAGCGACGTGCAACAATGACCAAAGACCATTGTAATGAAGTTAATAGGAAGCGTCGTGAAGTGTATCATCAAAGAAAGGCTCAATCTATGCTCCCTAACAGGGGCGAAGGCAAGTTATGTGTAGGGGGTCCAAATGCACCACCCAAAAAATTGCAAAAATAGTGAATTTGATTAAAATTTCACAATATATGCATCCACTATTAGACTTGTCTACGCACCCACAAGACAAGTGCACCACCCTCTAATTTGCTCTAGCTTCGCCACTGCTCCCTAAAGTATCCAAGGTAACATTACATAGACTACTAAATTGTGATACCTGCAATGCCCTTCATTATAATAATATTCAATAATTTGTCCATACAACTACACATTCTTAATAGTTAGTGCAACAATAATATGGGGGATACAACCACTATATACAACAAATAGCGTGGACACTATGCACAACCTTTGCTTTTACTAGCGCTACTATTCCTGTTGATAAACATGGTGAACAAAAAGATTCAAAAAGCCAGTACTTTAGATAATTAATTATGAAGATGACACGAGAAGAGAGGGAGGCTAGACATGAACATCAACGACTGAGTTATAGAACCCCAGGGCGAAAGGAGGCCATCAAAGCAGGGTAGAGAAGACGGAAGGAAGTGCATAAGCACACTCTATACCCTGAGTCAATCGCTATGGAGAACCCAATTTATATTCCTTAGATTGTGTGGCCAACCACAGAAGTAGTTAGGCCTCATGGAGCCACAGTAAACCCCAACTATTGGGATATCTCAAAGTCTAGTGCAACACCTCTTTATATCCCATCAGATTAAGAGGATATATAAGGACGAAGATGATTGGATGATATACTACCTAGCCATATGATATGACGCATAGGAGATGTGTTCCATCTAGAGCAAGGCATGCATTGTTAACCCGTCACAACACGTTGTTTAAGTGTTGCTTTGGTGGGAACACAAGAGTGATACCTAATGATAATGAATTCATGGATAAAGACCATGCCGATGATAACACACCCTTACTTGAGTAAGCCGTGACCAACAATGGTAAATAATGAGGCCATACTACTCTGTTTCATTCACCTAATACCATGTTATTCCCATCTCAACCATGTCCATTATATGATTTACAGAAAGCGTTGGACCAAGCATTGAGTTTGCATCAGTAATACCGACACAACAAGTATTGGATGACACTGGTAATTAATTTACAATATTTTTAGCACTCTAGACTATTTGATCCCATTTATTTATTGTTACCCATAGTTGTACTAACTCACGTATTTGCGATGGTCATAGATGATGACGAGGGATACTTTTTTGTTGGGCAACTTCCAAATATTTCACGTGTTTATCTAAACTGTTGTGTGTATTAAACATCCGAGGAAGATGATGACGATGTCCAAAACAATGATCGTGAGGAAGATACGGATTCTATCCCCGAAGTACCTGACACACTGGTTGTTTGAAAATTGTTTGGAACAGTTTTGTAAACGGACCGTGATTAACCATGGTGTCTTCTGCAAATACTATTCCCATGACAGCGTCAAGGTCACTTTGCCGCTCAGAGTTCACATGGCGATGGACAAGGTCCTCGTGTTCGTCAATGGAGAATCAGTATCCAGTGTTCTGTATCAGCCTTCCATTCCATGACTCCATGAGAAACCGCGAGCACAGGCCATTTAATTAGCTGCAAAGACGAACCCATATCAAAGCGGTATTGGAAAGATCAAACCCCCGAGACACCATGAAGTGAAGGCCATGCAGCAAGCCAAGTTGCAATAACACGGCATAATTTTCTCAGTTGTTTTTCTTTTTCGGTATACAGGCAACACAGCACGATACTATTAGTCTGCTACACCAGAACCTGAAGAGAGGGTTAAAAAGAACCAACCAACATACTGATCTACTGACCTACCTACCATTTGGGTGGCTTGCTTTCACCCTTAATATGTACACTTACACTGAGATCCAGCACTTCCTATAGGAACAAAATATTGCCACCTGAATTTGGCGGCGAGCTGACACGATACATACACATGCATCAGGGACCCTAGGAAGTCTCTCTGCTTCATTCAGCAAAAACTTTGGGCTTCCGGACCCTTTGACTCCTCCTGCCATCTACAGCCACCAGAACAGCCTTCTCAACCAGCAGCTTTGAGGGGGCGCTCGCAGCAGTCTCTTCCTTCTTCGCTTTGGAGGATGAGTTCTCAGTCGCCTGCTTTTTCGCTGAGGACGCACTTTCAGCCTCCTGCTTATTTGCAGCTGCAGACGAGCTTACAGTTTCCTGCTGCTTCACTGCTGAGGATCCTTCCCAGTTTTCTGCTCCTTCGATGCTGAGGTCGAGTTCCCAGGTCCATGCTCCTTTCTAGCTGTGGATGAGGTTTCAGTGTTCTGCTTCTTCGCTGCTGAGGATGGCTTCCCAGTTTTCTGCTCCATCGATGCTGAGGACTTGTTCCCAGATCCATGCTTCTTTGCAGCTGTGGACGAGGTTTCAGTTTTCTGCTTCTTCACTGCTGAGAAAAGCTTCCCAATCGTCTGCTCCATCGATGCTGAGGATGAGTTCCCAGATCCATGCTTCTTTGCAGCAGTGGACGACTTTTCAGTTTTCTGCTTCTTCACTGCTGAGGATGGCTTCCAAGTTTTCTGCTCCATCGATGCTGAGAACGAGTTCCCAGATCCATGCTCCTCTGCGTTTGCAGGTTCATTTACAGATTTGCGCTTCTTTCCAGCAGAGCAGGTTGTCATGGTTTCAGGCCCTGTTGCAGCAGAGCGTGTGCCCTCGGTTTTCTGCTTTGCTACAGCAGAAGGCGTGCTCTCAGTTTGGGTACTTGCAGCTGACAGCGTGCCCGTGCCCTCAGTTTTCTCCTTTGCAGCAGGTGTTTCGGATGCCTCTTTCCTCTTCATTGCTGAGGATGGCTTCCCAGTTTTCTGCTCTGTCGATGCAGAGAATGAGTTCCCAGATCCATGCTCCTTTGCATCTGCAGGTTCATTTACAGATTTGAGCTTCTTTCCAGCAGAGCGAGCTGTCATGGTTTGCAGCCCTGTTGCAGCAGAGTGTGTGCCCTCGGTTTTCTGCTTTGCTACAGCAGAGGGCGTGCTCTCAGTCCGGGTATTTGCAGCTGACAGCCTGCCCTCAGTTTTCTCCTTTGCAGCAACTGTTTTGGACGCCTCTTTCCTCTGCTTCTTCCTGGTAAACAAAGAGCCTTTCTTCCTCCTCTTTTTCTTAGAGTTCGGTTCCTGTTTGCTCCCAGAAGAGCCAGGCTCCTTTGAGGTTGACTTTTCAACAGATGATTCTTGCCCCGCTGCTAGGGCACAAGTGGTATCTACTTCCACTGGAGCACAAGTGCTATCAACTTTTACTGGAGCACAAGTGTTCTTCACTTCCACTGGAGCAGAAACGTTCTGTTCTTTGGAAGAAGTTCCAGAAGGCAGATGCTTGGCCTTGTCAAACTGCTGACAGACATCACTGGTTGCTTGATTGTCTATGAGGATATCGTCAGCGTTCTGCAAAAAAGAAACAGTCAAGTAAATGCCAGTGCAAATGTATTGCCCAAAAAGCTAACACGTTAACCATTTTCTGGGAAGTGGTTCAAAATCAGTGAAATGGTCAATATGGCATAACCACAGATCCACAAGTATCACTAAGCTTCCAAAACTGTTATATATAGAAACATAACATACTAAATTACTAATATTTGTTAGTTTGCACAACAAAGTTAAAAATGAATTGCTTTGTCACGTTGCCATCCTCAGGCCTTCAATTTTATAACCTGCAAATTTCACTAGGGATATCTTCTACCAATGCACACCCTAGGTAGTGAATTCTGGATGGACCTGATTTACAAACAACCCAACATCCTAATAAATTCTAAACCCCATACCTCATATCCAAGATATAATCATATAACTACAAATTCTAAGTTCTTGTGGGGAAACAGAATCTCTTTATATTTTTTTAAAGAAAAAACAGCATATGTTTACATGGGTATTACACTTTTTAATTTAAACATAGACAAGTAAAGGAACTATCCCTACAATATTTTTCAGAGTATAATGTTTGACTATTTTCTCTAGAAATAGTAAATGGGGACTTTATAAATCAAAGCCTATTGTGCTTATGAGGATTTAAATTCCAACGCTTGAGTAGCAACTCTGAGAGCATCAACCCAAATCCAAACAAGCACTAAATAATTAAAGGAATAAGAATAAGCAAAGGATCAAAGACTTACTTCTTTGCATAAATCCTCTATATAACCATTTGGTATGTAATTGCCAATACCCAAGAGAAGGTCCATTGTTATGGCTTTCTCCCTCAAGTGTTTGCCCTCTCCACTTCTTTCTTCAGCAATCCTATCTGCATCTTTTATAGGAGTATCGGTTTCCCTGTCAGGCAAAGGTCTCCCTGAAAGAGCTGGTCCACTATCATCCTTGAGCAAAACATTTAGATTCTTCTTTTTCTGTGGTTTAGTATATCTACATTCTGTATAAGATGAGCGCTTTTGAGTATGCTGTCTCTTCGGAGCCACCCTGACATGAGTATTGCCCTCAGAAAATGCCAAATTTCTTCCTTCATAATGAGCCTTGCTGAGACGACCTCGAAGCAGATGAACTCGAGACTGAACCCCATCAATCGTCAAGAGAATATCCTTTAAAGAGAGTTGCTCAAAAAATCACATCATAATCCTCGGAATCAAGCAATGTAACACTGTCAGGTCCGCCTCGGATAGGAACTGTATTTAGAATGAATCAAATACATAGATAGTTCTTGCATGACTATTAGCTAGGCAGAGAATAAAGATGAATTGGAGTTTCTGCATGGTCAATTTAACTAAACCTCAACTAGCTATGTATGTTCTTCATTGATCTACCCAAAAATAGGAATGCTACCATAAGATCAAATAAAATCATAAGGATCCGAACACATTATATCATACAGCTATACAAATTAGTTCCTCTCAAATTATGTAGGGTATGTATGTTTATGGAAAATTCAAACTTTGTATAATTTGACTTATGCTCAGTCAAATTATATGGGCACAAACTATACAGCTACATCCATATTTCAAAGTGCTTTCACACTATATTCGTTTTATAGCTGTGAAGTGTAACCACTACTACTATATTGTGAAACAGAAAATAATGGTCAAAGTTTAATTTTGATATAAAAAAGCCTAGTTTTGAACACTGTGCTAAAATAAAATACACCCTATATACTTGGTTGGAGAGAATATTTGCTCAGATACTTAAGAACTAAACCTTGACCAAGTACACGTAAGCAAGATTGTCACCTGAAATGACATTAGTAGATTTGCCAAGTGATGTGTTTTCAAGCAATTACAATTTTGATATTTTTACTAACATATACTAATAAAGCAAAATATCAAAGGTGTGTGCTGGAGACTGGTATAGTCCAATGAAAACTAAAACAACGGAATGGAGTGTATAGTAAGAATTAAGAACTCTGTGGAACCGAAGTCATATTAGACATCTCAGAATTCTTTGATAGTGTTCATATGGTTAAAGACTTGGTGACTAATTAATTGTTGACCTTCAATTAAAACACAAGCATATGCCTCAGCTAAAACATAAACACATTCCTAACAAGAGCAAGCTTTTTCTCACAACTGGGTCAACTTCTAATTCAATCTAATGGTGTAACTTTGCTCAATACCGTTGATAGGATTAGGGATCCTACGGGAGTTGCTACGGAGGTTGTAGGGATGGAAGAGCGGAGGGCGAGGCTTAGGCAAGCGACAGCGGCGAGTCGGCGCCAGTGGTGATCACCGCGCCAAGGAGGAAGAGAGGCGCGGCTAGGGCTTCAGGGAAGCCGAGCAACTAAATTGTTGCCTTGCTTAATTCTCTCAATCAATGTTTACAGATATTTATCCTCCTAGCTTCCATCTATAAGATCCTATATTTAAGGACTAAATTATATCTGAGGAAATAAATAAAATAGCTAATTCTGGGCAATTAGCCCCTAACAGATGACGCCTGGGCTGCTAGCCCCTAACAGATGGCGCCATTAGCCACTAATGGGCCGGCACCTAGAGTATTGGACGCCGGTCATAACAACCGTGCTTTCCATTTTAACTTCACTGAAAAAATTGACCAGATAGGCACATTCATACCTGTACTACCACAATCGTCATCAATTAAGAGACCATCAGTTTCAGCTCCCTTATTTTGTTTATCTGCAAAATACTGAAAGAATTATTGTCGTTGACAACAAAACCCGGTGCAGAATTGACATGGCCATGGATAAATAGATGCCCTATCCCTACACAAAAGAAGACGACATAACTGGATGTCAGACCATGGTAGTATGACAATATTTGGTGCTTGTTGATGTACAAAGGAGTATCCAAATTTTCTTCATGCCTCTTCCGCTTTGTCCTCTTCATGATACTGTTTCCATGACCTTTGTGAATCTGCATAGATTCTGACATAGAACCATTTGGTTTGCTTGCTGCTTGTAATTCTTTTTGTTTCTTGTTTAGAGCAAGCTCCCTGTCATACTTTGATACTTGAGATGAGAGCTCCCTCATACGCAACTCTAACCACTGGCATCTCCACAGAATTGGACGAACATAATTCCTCCACTCAGCCGTCACCTTTTTCCTTATGAAGAGTAATCACATATCACAAAATTTGCATAAAAATGAAGGATATCAGAATAAAACATTACAACAAAATGTAATAAGAATATAGAAAGTAGCTGCTTGCTCCAATTATATTCTAGGCTCTAGCTATACCCACAAAATGATACGTAAGCTAACACTCTGAAGCACTGATAAGAGTAGCACAGGTTTCCTTGTTCATGGCTAGTTGGCTACACATCATAGTTTAAAGCATGAATATCAGAAATAAAAACCATACTCTCAAAGAAAGGCAATAAGCATGAAAATATACGATGTCTCCCAACACGGACAAAAATGAACCTATAATGGTCTACAGCATTAAACATAAATATCATCAATGCTGGTGTGGGTTCAAATCCCAGGCTAGGAATTTCTTTTGCAAATTCGGACTGTCATGCTTAAAATATAGAGTAGCATTTAGTAAAACACCTAGGTGAACTTTTCCAAAAAGAAACAAGGGCAATACTAACCCCCAAGGACTTTCTCTCTAACCAGAAGGATACTGATACTTTGTGTCAATATTTAGTATTTTCGTCCACTACACGATTGACAGATTATCATGGAATCAATCTACCAGATTGTTTTAACCAAAGTCCTGGTGGAAAAACCAACATGATAAATTTACAATACTTTTGAAGAAGCTATCATCTGCTTAATTGTCTTTTTAATTAGCGACTTGACAAATAGAAGACCATACGAGTATCCGGTAATTGCTTTTTCGGATCGTGTTAGTCATAGTCATAAGTGGTGTGGCATTTCTTAGGACAGAACACATAACTTCCTGGCCGTTGACACCTGCTTCTATCGTGATTAGAAGAATTGGGTAGAAATCATACCTGGCTTTTAATCTAGGTGCTACTATCACCTGCTAAGTTTTGTATATAAATAAATGATGACTGAAACGTGGCCCAGAAAAGGAAAATTTCGGCAAGAAGGTACTAATTAATTAATAAGCATACAAGACTCTGCATTACGTTACTGAATAATTAGTAATTTGTTTCTGTTTCAGATACACTGATGGTCCTACTTTTCTTGTTACTTCCGAAGACAGGAAGGTGCACCAATTACAACATAGTATAACAGTTGAAATCCCACTACTACCTTCCATCTTATCACAGGAGCGCGGGAGCGGGAAAACTAAACACTGTAATTCTAAATGCGAAGCATGTCTCCGTCTCTTATTGGTGAAAGTGAAACTGAATATATGAAATTCAGCAGAGCTCACATAAGCGCCTAACTGCCTAGTGCTCTAGCATAATCTTACAGCCATTCATTTTTCCACGAACCATAAACGCACGCACAATAATGAGACCAATAGCACCAGGGCACACGACGAGCTGACAGAACACTCACCTAGGCGGCTTCCAGGGCCTGCTACCATTGGCATGAGCAGACATGCCAGAATTCACTTCTGGTTCACCATCGCCTGGTGCATCTTGAACTCCAGAGCAGGTGTCACCAAACGAGCTCGAGCATTCGGTGGTATCACCTCCCACGTCTTCCACAGGTTCAGGATCGACCACCGGAGGGTCAGTGCTCGTGCAGACAGCCTCAGATTTCACCACCACCATGGTGCTCTGGTTCCTGGCTCCACCGCCAGCACCCTCGTGGTCAACATCCATGGCCGCTGGAGCGGGAGCCATGGCTCGCAACTGATGCGTCAGGGGCCCTCCGGCGCCACAGGAAAACTACAGAAATTCGCCCCAATCCTCCTCCACAAGACCCTGCGGACGGACGGACAGATGAATTTTGAGCAAAGAAACAAAAATCTGTCGCACAGAACCCACGGATTCGTGAGAGAAACCGCTAGAACGGGAGGATTCCTACCAATACCTCAACCAAAGCAGAACAATCCCCAACCACCAGTGGGGCAAGGGCTTACCGCGGAGCGTCAGATGGAGAATCAGGCATCAGCCCGGGCGGATCTCCATGGCGGAGGAGAAGATTGGTGGGGAGTCGGGATTGGGACACGGTAGCTCGGCCCGTGGACTTGGCCTCAGACGCGCGGGCGACGGCGACGGCGACGACGAGGGTTAGGGGAGGAAGCATCCATGGATTTGGGCTCCGCTGGTTGTGACGACGGCGGCGGCGAGGGCTCGGGCCTGCGCTGGGAAACGAGTGCGGTGGGTCTTTGCGCTTCCGGCCGGCACGGAAGGTGGCAGTGGGCAGTGGCGGTGGCCGTCGGCGTCGGCCGGCAGCGTAAAGGGCCGGAGGTGGAGCCGACGAAACCAAGGAGCAAATGAGGAACGGATGCAGGTTTTACCTCTGGTAAGGAGATAAAGTCAAAAACTAAACTCAAGTGGATAACGAACCAACAACATTTTTTTTTTCAAAGTTCTTTTTTTCAATCTATCTTCGAAGTTAGCATAATCTAACGACTCAATCCGAAGTTTAAAAACATTCAAATTCAACTCATTTTTATTTTATTAATAAAAAAACAAATTCAATCAAAACAGTTTTAACACAAACTGCTGAGCTAGCTCAAAGAGCTTTTTATGTAGCCTTAATTAGGTTATTAGTGGTTTGCCACACTACCAAGAAAATTATATTTTTTTTTGACGGCATAGCTTCATTTCGGCTGCCAAGGTAATTCTGATGTGGGGCGAAGGTAATTCTGATTTGGGGTAATTGCTCGGTTACCCGTATGGACACAATGACGTTACTTTCCATAAAAGGTTTCTACGTGGTTACTCGTTGATACGGAACCTAATTTTATCTTTGAAAGCTTATCCTCAAAAATCAGAACCTGTATTAAAAAACAAAAAGTAGTCATGAGCGGCGAACCAGAGCATATAATATATAATATTAATTAATCCCTCAACTACGAAATATTGTTCACACGGTATTGTCCACTCACTATTCTACACTATTCACGTTTTTGTTTGGCACTATTTAGCGTTGTTCATTCATAATCCAACCACGAAGAAACTGGAGGCCATCTGTCACTATTCGATACTGTTCACACGGTACTATCCGCTCACAATTCGGCATTGTTCACGTTATTCAGTCTGTTTGGTTGGCTGGTTCGTATCGTTGCTGGTTCGTGAAGAAGTACTGCTGGCTGGTTTGTATGAGAGAAAAATATTATTCCGACTGAAAATTTACGATTGTTTGTGACAAGCCACGGCCAAACGAACAGGTTTATTATTGTTTGATAGTGATTAGTGTTGTTCATAATCGTTGTGGGCCTTCGTTTTATTTATTTTTTGTACTGTTCACCACGCGCTGCTTCCTAAGGCCGCGCAGCGTAGTGCGCGTGTTTAGGCTATTGTATCTTTAATGTAGGATTTGGTTGTTTTTTTTTACTACAACGTAGGATTTGGTTGAAAGGACAAAGATAAATTGAATGGAGCAATCCATTTACAAGCTGTTTGGTTCACTCACAGCTAAGGGGAACAAATTACGGGGGCTCTTCGAGCGAAGCGAAGCGGCGGCACCGTAATGGGATAGTACTCGGGGAGATGATGTATCGGTGGATGAATAGATCCGTATCTGATTATAGGGTACCTCGTTACGTGTGGGTTCGAACGAAACAATTGTATCGCTATTCGACGCAACTAGGGTCCGGACGTCCTGCGTGAGCACGCGTTCGAGACGCCTCTTGGGACCATCCGATTGAGATAACAGGAGTCGTCCAAATCTCATTGAATAAAACAACAACGGAAAATAAAGCGGACCTATCCGATGCAATAGAACGAGCGCGCCCCACGTGCGGCCCGTCTCCCGTCATGCCTCGTCGCGTAGCCATCCCTCGCCGCGCCGTTGTGCCACATCGCATCGCCATCCCCCGCCGTGCCGCCATCCCCTGCGTGCCCGTTGCCCTCCGCGCCCCATCCCCACCGTGCTCCATCACCCGAATGTCCAATGAGAAATTTTTCATCGGAAGATCTGTTGCAACACGGAGCAATGCGAGATGCACATCAGAAGTATTACTTGTTTACAACATCAGAACAAGTCTACTGCAATATCAGAACAAGGCTACTGCAACAACAGAACAAAGCTACTGAAATGCGAGATGTAATATTAGCAAAAAAGAGACTAATGCAACGAAGAAATATTACTTGTTGTAACATTAGAACAAAGGCTACTGCAACAATAGAACAAAGCGCAATGCGAGAAAGCAACATCAGTCAAACTTTGACTTGCACAGATTTTTTAGGAGCAGCAGCTAGTGAGCTTGTTCGTTGGTTGGTTTCTGGGCTCATAAGTCCAGTTGGTGCTGGTTTGTTGTGAGAGAAAAATATTGTTGTCTGACTGATAAACCCTGACTGAAACCAACGAACGAACACGCTGAATAGATACCATCCAAACAGGCTAAGTATTAAACGACAAATAATCAAAGCGCGCTCCTAGCGTTACAAAAAGCTATTGCTCGCGCATAGCAGCTGTCAATCTGTGCGGGCCATGCACCATGTTCTACCATGTATATAAGGGTGAGGTGAGGCCAGGAATTTCTCCTCATCGTTCAAGTCCATTCCTCGTTGCTCATTTTCGGCCTTTGACTTGCTTTGGGATCAATAGCATGATGATGATGACCATGTTCTCGTGCGCTAGTGCTTTTCGGCCCCCTAGCAATGCAAGCACAATGTAAGTACTCCTTTGTATTGTTTAATTTAATTTGTATATATATTTGAGGGGAAATATGATGGTGAGCATGTTGTTGTTGCCTAATTTTTTTTTCAATTTAACCATTTTTCGAAGAAAATTTACGGTTTATTTCTGTGATACTTAAACTCATCTTTGGACCCTGGGGGTCGGCGCCATGAGTCCTGGTGCCGAGGTAACACGTCTCAGCGCCACAGATCTTGGCTCCAAGGCGTCTGGCTGTGCACAACAGGGATCCTACGTGGCGTTGACGTGGCCGGTACCTCGACGCCAGAATACATGGCGCCGAGCTCGGCGCCAGAGATCTTGACGCCGAGCATGCATTTAAAGCGTGCGCCAGTACCTAGCCTGACTGTATGTCTCCATCCACTGCTGGTGTGCGCTACTACTAGCCTACTACTGTACTCCTACCACTAGTAGCAGGAGTAGCAGCAGCGCGCATGCGGGGAGGGGGAGAGGAGGCGCAGCTGAGAGACAGGCGGCGTAAATGCTGGCATCTACGCGCACACAGCTGTTGGTAGCAGGAGTAGCAGAGCGCGTTTAGGTTTCTCGTCTCAACTGTTAAACCCCACCACCCCATCCCAATAATTTAAGTTCCAAGAATGATGGTGTCGGGTTCATAAACCCAGGGTCCCTCGGGGATCGGCTTCCACGCCAGGGCTCGGCCTAGGAAAATAGCATGTTGTTCGTGGGCCGGCCCGAAGGTCTAAAAATACGACGAGACGGAAGGACAGTCGATCGCCGACCGAAAGGTCTGCCCGAAAGAACGAACGCCCGCTCATCAACTTCTTTCGCCCACCTCCGACCAGAGCGCTCGCCTCGGGCGCCAGCCGCCTCCGGGCGGTCTCTCCGATCGGAAGGCCTGGCCCAAAACGCTGCTTCCTACTCCGACCCCGTGACTCCGACCGGGAACCCGTAGGAAGCCTGCTTACCGCTCTTCTCCGACCGGCGTGGCCAGGACCGGCTGGGGCCATCCGACCGGGGGCGCCCGCTCGGAAGGGACCAGGGGCGAACGGAGAAGACGGTGCACAAAGTCAAAACCACGATACCGGGACCATACCCTACACGCCTGCGGGAACAGTGCTCCTCAACCACCCTAACACAAATAGTATTGTAGACGCCGACATTTGTGTCTACAGTATTGTAGGCGTCATTGGGCTCCCATACGGCAAAAAGCCCCCACATACCTCTGGGCATCGGCAGTGGGCGCCAGGGTTCACCATACCTCGTACATGTGGTGGGGCTCCTCACCTACCAATAGTATTTTACAGGTACCGACGTTCACCCTTTCTGAAGAAGCCAACGCAACCTCACATGTGCACCTGACATTCTATAGTGACGTCAACAATTTTGTGGGTGCCTACCATCGGCTGTCCTCATCGGCGTGGGCAACAAGGCTTAGTAACATCCGTACTCTCCCTCTCACCTGTAAAGCCATCCCCTTCATCTATAAAAGAGGATGCGCTCCCTCCAACAAAGGGGATCGATTTTCCAGAGGACCACTTCTTCAAGTTCAGACTCACTAGATCGATAGCCCAAAAACCCCTCAAGCACATACTTGAACATCTAGCTCATAGCGGAGTTCCGGTCGCCCTCGGCCCTTCCGGTCGGACCCGACCGGGCCTCTCGTACACCCCTCCTTTCTTCTTCTCGTTTGTAACCCCACTACAGACTTCGAGCACCTAGGCTTAGGAATAAAGTCACCGACCGACCCACACTGGACGTAGGGCACGTTGCCTGAACCAGTATAAACCCTGTGTCATTGAGTGCTAGGCCACCTCCGATCACAACGTACAACAAAACTACAAATATTCACTAGTTGCTCACTTTCTGTACCGACAGATGGGGTGTGTTTTTAGAAGGTGTACACATACATGATATGCACTGCATGCTCCTTTTTATATGTACAATCCCATATATAGTTGTTTTAGGAAGTAGGAACCGGAGAACAGAAGGCGTTAATACATAATTTCATTTTTCTCTCATAATGTTCTTTTTATTTTGTACTTTCAAGCAACTCTTATATTTTAGCATTTTT